GAATTTAACCCCCACATCCCGCTCATCCCCGGCCCCCCTGGCGCCTCACCTTGACTCGCTGCGCCTCGTTGATGGCCGCCTGAAAGGCCCCGATGTAGAAGTTGTTCCTCACGTCGAAAAGCTCGTCGGCCTCGCCGGAACCGGCGGGGGTCGCCATCGCGCGCGTAACCTTTTTCAAGACGGCCGCAAACCCGACACGTCTTAGCCTTCCTCGCCCTTCCACGCCAAGCCCTGTGGGAAGCGTCCATTGGCTGGCTCTCTTTTGCCCCGCCTGCCACGAGGAGGAGAGAGCGAGCGAGGCGGACCAATCGGAAAGAGAAGAAAAGATGGTTGGCGGAAAGCATCCTGGGAATTGGAGTCAGGCAAGGAGGCCTTATCCGCCACCCGGCGTATAGAGATAGAAAAAATAGAGTGGTGCTCTAACGGTATAACGCAGGGGTCTTCAAACTTAACAGCTTTAAGACACATGGACTTCAACTCCCAGCATTCCTTCTCCAGTCAGGTTAGCTCAGGAATTCTGGGAGTTAAAGTCCACAAGTCTTAAACTTGTCCAGTTTGAAGATCCTTGGTATAAGGGCTATAGCAAGAAAAAAGTCTGTTGAATCTAGTGGGATTTGCTTCCCTGTGTTGAAAGGTGTCAAAATGCCTTTCTTTCGAGGATTCGATTTTCCTGCTGGGAGAGCTCCAGTGCAAGGATACGGACAACTGCTTGAAAGCGGGATCTTTTTATTTTTCAGGAAGGCGGAGAACAGTGAGAAGTCTGCGTTCCTGGGCTAGCTAGCTTCTTATGGTAAGTCCCTGGTTTTTTTATACCCTTTTCTCCCTTTGTAAGTTGATTTTGTGTGAGTGTTTGTATTTGTGCCTAATGTTTCAAATCCTGTTTGAGTTTGTCTTTATTTCCACCAGAGGCCAAACTCCGCAGGGTGGCCAGATTGTATTATTGGTTTTCTGTAATCTCTTTTAGCTTTAAGATAGTTTTTCATATTTGTTCTGTGGCAATCTCCTGTGTGTCCCTTTTGTAATTTATATTTTGTGTCTTTTGTCTGTTTGTTTTGTTTATTTGGTATGTCCTGTGTTTGTAAGGGTTTTCTAAATTATCTTTTGTTTCCTTTTCCTATTTGTCTAGTTTTCTTAATTACTTAGGCTTTTGTCTATAGGGATTCTTTAATACTTTTTATTTGATTCCTTTTCCTATCTAAGTTTGTTTTCTGGCTGACCTGATGTTCCCCTTGGGCTTTTCCTATCTTTTGTGACACTACTGCCTTCTTGAAATTCCCTTTCCACACCTGACAGCCTTATTTGAATAAAAAATAATTATTATCATTCTTCAGCGTGGATAATATTCAGAAGGAAAATTTTTGTGTTGTTTTTTTTTTTTGTCGGCTCCTGAATGGACATTTTCTCATGCTCAAGAGTACCCAAGAGGAACGTTAAAAATAGTAAATTTTACAACGTTCCTCATCTATTGTAGCCTCGAGGCTTTTTATAAGTTCTGCACTGGGTTCATAAACCTCCACCAGGTTTCTAGGTATATAAGATAGCATTGTTATGTTACAAATAGAAATAATTGTAGAAAATATGACTAAAATGATTGATAAAATATTCACTGTAATGTAGTGGAATGTTTGTTAATAAATGAATTAAAGTGAATGAGAATTACATTAGAAAAGGATGGGAACATTTTAATTATTAATGATTTATAAAAATATAAGTGAGGAATATGGGGAAAAAATAATTATGGAAAGTTTATAAGTGTTCCCAAGGAAGTATGATATTCAATTGAAAAGAAATGTTAAAGATGTTAAGATTTTAATGAATATTAATGATAGAATTGAATTGGAATGGAATGTGTGCTTTATTTACATATATATATATATATATATATAAAATCTTTTTTTTAAGAATATAGTGTGTATTTTAAGAATGTACCAAGCAGAATTTGATTGGAAGTTATGTATTATATTGAATGTTATAATCTTAAAAGTATACACTGAAGCTTAAATAAGAGTTTGAATAGATAAAATTAAAATATATAAAGGTGTCATACTCCAATTAGTAGGGAGGATTTGTTTAATGAGAAAAGATAATATGAAATTGAAACAGGACAGACAAAAGTATAAATATAATGATTTGAATTGAGGAGATAATTAAAATAAAGTTGAGAAAATTAAGAGGGGAAAAACTATGTAGAAAATATAAAACAGTAATAAGATATGGAATAAAACACAAAAATGAGCATGAAATTGAGTTTGTGTCTGTATGAAGAAGTGATAACCTGGGACCATGCTATTTTCAAAAAAAGATGTTTTATTTGTATTATGCTTTTTTCTTTTTTTGTGAAAACCCAAACCTCCACCAGGTTTCTATGGGAAACTTCTAGGGTAGCTTTACTGAGCGTAGATCTACATTCCAGAAATGTAGATCTATCTACATTTCATGTAGAACTATCTACATTCTATGTAGAACTATCTACATTCTACGCGATGCCGAGAGTGCCTGGGAGTTGTAGTCCAACCATGCGGCGAGTATCCAATGGCTTGTAAGAGACGCGCCGGCGCTGGCAAGTGACGCCACATTTTCTGAGGAAGTCGCGCGGTGACGTTACAGACGCGTCTCCGTGTCGCGGGGCATCTTGGGACTGCTCTCACTCGCGTTCTTTCTTTCCCGGCGGCGTGAAGCCTTCCTGCCCTGTTTCTTGTGCGGACGATGGCCGGTTTCCGTGCTTTAGGATTGGACCCCTGGCTGGCGTCTCAGGCGGAGCAGCTGGGCTTGTCGAGGCCCACCCCGGTGCAGGAAGCTTGCATCCCTCCCGCCCTGCAAGGTAAATACCCAGAGAAAGACTTAAAGCAGAGGTCTCCAAACTTGGCAACTTTAAGATTTGTGGACTTCAACTCCCAGTTTTCCTCAGCCAGCTATGCTAGCTGTGGAATTCTGGGAGTTGAAGTCCACAGATCCTAAAGTTGCCAAGTTTGGAGACCCCTGACTTAGAATAACTTTATTGTCACTTTAAATACATACTAATCGGCATATATTAAGATGAATTTTTGTTGTATACAGCTCTCAAAGGGTCACCCCCCCCAATATACACTACAGAACGTGACTAAATAAAATAAATCAATAAAAATTATGCATATACTCACATATGTTATATGATACAGAGAAACAATACAGTCTAGTTCGGATGTATACATGTACATGACAAGGAAAACGAATCTTGCAAGTTGGCATAGGGAACAAAACTGTTACAGAATAGGGTAGTCCTGCTATAGATACTTTGAAACCTTCTCCCAGAGAGAACCAACAGAAACAGGCCATGAAGTGGGTGGGTGGGGTCTCTAACAATGCTTTGAGCTCTAAACATATAGTGCTTATAAGCGGTATCCTGAATGACAGGAAGAGAGCTTCCTATAATCTTCTCCACTGTCTTCACCGCTCTCTGTATGGACTTTCTATCTGAGGCGCTGCTGCCACCAAACCAAACAGGGATGCAGTTTGTTAAAACGCTGTCAATCGTGCCTCCGTAAAAAAAAAAAGTGGCCAGGACAGAAGGAGAAAGAGGTACTTTCCTCATCCGATGCAGGCGCCGGTTTGCACACTTCATTAAGGATGAAGTATGGAAAGACCAATTCAGATTATTAGTTACCTGCACCCCCAGATACTTAATACTGTTGACCACCTCTACAACTGCATCCTTGATACTGAGTGGAGTATGACCATGTGGGATCTTTCTAAAATCGACAATGGTCTCCTTTGTTTTATTAACATTTAGAACCAGGTTACTTTTATTGCACCACTCTGTCTGAGCCTCCACCTCTTCCCTATAAGCCTCTTCACTGTTGTCTTCACAATAGAATTCGTAGCAGACTTGACACAGGAGTCGTATCTCCAGTGAAGGAATTGGAAGGCTCACCAGACCTTTAGTGGTTTATGAGCTCTTCCCATAGTAGCCCACCCCCAACATGACAAACATGAACAATTACAGAGAGTCCTCAATTTACAACAATCCATTTAGTGACCAAAGTTACAACGGCACTGAAAAAAAAGTGATTGATTACCATTTTTCACCCTTACGAGCAGCACCATGGCCAAGTGATCAAAATTCGGCCGCTTGGCAGATACCTCTGACCACACACAAAATGCATCACAACTTTGGCCTTTGCATTGACCTGTCCTCCTACATCTTGCTCCCATAGGTCGTGACTGCATGGGCTGCGCCAAAACTGGAAGTGGCAAGACAGCTGCCTTTGTGCTCCCCATCTTGCAGAAACTTTCTGAAGATCCTTTTGGCATCTTCTCCCTGGTGCTGACACCAACAAGGTAGGGGCAGGTATAGCTTGGGAAAGGACACTTACGCCAAAGAAACGAATAGGTGAAATCTTGGTTTGGTCTGTGCTTAAATGAGTTGCGCAAAGCAAAGATTATTTGGGTAATTTAATTTAATGAAAAGGAGGACTAGGAATGACATGATAGCAGTGCTCCAGTATTTGAGAGGCTGCCACAACTTTAAGACTTATGGACTTCAACTCCCAGAATTCTCCAGCCAGCCAATTCTGGGAGTTGAAGTTCACAAGTCTTAAAAGGTTGCCAAGTTTGGAGACCTCTGTGATAGTGAAACAGTTTGGAAACACTGAAGCATCCTCATGCTGGATTGTCTCTTACCTGCTACAGAATCAAGAAGGGAGAAGTCTGCCCTGCCCCTGCTAATAGCTTTAATTTTAATATTAAGTAAAGCAAAGGAACATGTCTAAATAAAATCGTATATTAAAGACCGCAAGCTCCTTTGGGCCTTTAGATTATGCTAAGGAGAGATATGATAGCGGTCTTCTGACGCACAAAGGGATGTCACAAGAAAAAGGGAATAGATGTATTCTCCATGGCACCTGATGGTAAGGCAAGCTTTATAATGAGAGGTTGCAATGTGAACTAAGGAGAAAATGTCTGATTGCAAGAGCTATTAAGCAGCAGAACAGGCTGCCTCTGTCAATTGTGAGTGCCCATCACTGGAGAGTTTTAAGAAAATAACAATAGCACTTAGACTTATATACCACTTCATGGTGCTTCACAGCCCTTTCTAAGCCATTTATAGAGTCAGCATACTGCCCTCAGCGATCTGGATCCTCAGTTTACCGACCTCAGAATGATGGAAAGCTGAGTCAGCCTTGAGCCGGTGAAAAGATTGAGCAGCCATTTATGCAGAGTAGAATGATACCTGCATTGGGCAGAGGGTTGGATTAGAAGACCTCAAGGTCCCTTCCAACCCGAGGATTCTGTGATTATGTTCCAGCCATGCACATATTGTCAGAAGATGCCTCAAAACTAGGCATCTTGAGTGCTTATATAAGTAGAAAGGTAAGATAGGATGTAGGATCCAATCTGGGCTGGTCATCGGGGCCAGAGGTTTTGTCTTCCAAGCTTTTGGGCTTGTGCTGAAGCCCATCATCCTCAGGGAACTTCTCTCTAGCACGAATCCTGAAAACTTGGAGGGCAAAACTTCTGTGGTCCCAGATTATTGACCCAGATTAGATCCTGCAACATTATCCTGGGATACATATATTTGCCTTCGTTCAGGGGGAATATGAATTTAATATTGGTAAATTAAAGTAATAAATATTTTTAAAAGAACCTTTGCTTAACTCTTCTTCCTCCCCTTCTCTGCCAGAGAGCTGGCCTATCAGATTGCTGAGCAGTTCCGTGTCCTTGGGAAGCCTCTAGGTTTAAAGGACTGCATCATAGTCGGGGGAATGGGTACGTCAACTTTATTGGGAAACTCGTAATTCACCCTCTACCCTTAAACAAGCTATCTTAAACCCTGTGAGACTGCAGCAAATACCAGTATTTATTTGACCACTTCATACACTGGGATGAGATGCATAGCTCTTGTTTTGACCTAGGCTTCCCCAACAGCACAAAACCGACTCCTCATCCCGATAAACCCCTTTTATTTAATTTACAGTGAACTCCTGGCCAACAGTCTTTCAAGATATTTTACAATTACGGACCTTTATCAGGCTTGGAGAGTTGCCAGGCCGATATCTTTCAGATGCCACATTGTAGCAGACAATACTTGACAAGAATGCAGGAACAGATCTTCTCCCAAATGAACTAATTGTCTCCTGCAAAACCCCCCTTTCGCTTCTATTTCATTCCCTATGGGAGGGGCCATTCACCGTCCACCTGTGGCCTAACTCCCAAGTCAACCCTTGTTCCTTAGCTGTTCCCCTCTGGCAGCTCTGTGCATGTTGTTGAGGTAATTCCCTGTTAGGAGAATGAGCGCATACAGGGAGACGTATTTGAGAGTAGTGTTTGAATAATACACACACAGCACACAGATACACTGTACAGTAAATGTAGGTTTTTTACTTTCAATAATGTTTGAGCAAAGTTCAAAATAGGCAGTCCAAAGTCATTCACAGGTAAGATCATTCAGTTTTTAGTCCAGGAATAATCCAATAACAAATTCCAGTGTCAAAAACAGTTCAGTATCAGACTTACATCAAATCCAGGAATAGCAGTCAATTAGAAGGAACGGCAATATTCTCCAACAGAAGGAAAAAGAGAGACTCACTGAGACTTCTTCTGAAATTAAGACTGAACAACCCAGGTTTCTGGCTCCATCTTATGGCCTTTTGAGAAACCACACCCAATTACACTTTTAGGATGCTCTTAAAGAGACAGTATTAAAATGTCTGTCCTGGTTTATATATTTCCAACCCAAATAGCTGTTAGGTGACTTATATTCCTACATTCTCCCTTTTGGGGTAGGACAATATGTACAACCTTACATTCTAAGTCCATAATCCTCACAGCAAGCCTTATGCTTTATAGAGCCTTGGGCCTTTGTAAAATGATCTGCAAAATTGTTTTCTGACGTACAGTGTTCTAGCTTAATCATTTTACTTTGCACACATTGTCTTACATTTAAATATCTTAAATCTGTGTGTTTCGTTCTTGTTTTATCAGCAATATTTGAAGCCATCTGTATTGCTGATTGATTATCTTCATAAACAACAATAGAATCTGTTACATCAATTCCCATGTCAATTAATAGTTGCTTATACAAAACTAAATCTGTACATAGTAAAGACAAACATGAGAATTCAGCCTCCATTGTTGACAAACTTAGATGTTTCTGTCTAATAGATCTCCATCCAATCAATACTTTTCCCAATAGTACTACAGTACCCAATGTAGATTTTCATGTATTGATGTCTGTAGCAAAACTTGCATCAGCATATGCAGTTAAATTCAGTTCATCTTTAGGCTCAAAATACAATGCATAATGCATTGTTTGTTTCAGATATCTTAACACACCTTTAGCAGCTTGCCAGTGCCTTTGAGTTGGCTCAGCGTTAAATCTCACTAATCGATTAACACTGTATGCAATATCTGGCCGTGACCAATTACTGAGATAAGATAAACTACCAATCAAGGACTGATAAATGTTCTTATCAAAAATAGGACTTTGTACATCACTATGGCTAAACTGGCTCATTGGTGTCTTAGCTGGCTTACAAAGTTCCATTTTAAAACTTTTTAGTAATTGGTTAATTTTATCTGCCTGTGAGATCTTGTATCCTCCCCTAGTTCTATCTATCTTTAAACCAAGATATTGTTTGATTTCTCCTAACTGTTTTATCTCAAATTTCTTTTCCAATAGTGAAATTATCCCAGTAGCTTCTTGTTCAGTTTTGGTAATACTGTGTGTGTATTATTCAAACACTTCTCTCAAATACGTCTCCCTGTATGCGCTCATTCTCCTAACGGGGAATTACCTCAACAGCCACAACAGCTCTTTGGACGCTATCTCTTACAAGAGATGTTAAGATTGTCTCTATTTGTGGACTTTCAGATATGGTCTCTCAAGCCCTGGAGCTGTCTCGGAAGCCCCATGTTGTCATCGCTACCCCTGGCCGCCTGGCTGATCACCTACGGAGCTCCAATACCTTCAGTCTTCGAAGCATCAAGTTCTTGGTAAGACGTTTGCACAAAGCGGGGTTTCTCAACCATGGCAGCTTTAAGGTGTGTGGATTTCTAGAATATTTGTGCACAACGGGGTCTGCACAAACCATGTGGGCCGCTGCATTTTGCACCAATTAGAGCTTCCGGATGCTCTTCAAGGGCAGCCCCATGTAAGAGTGCATTGCAATAATCAAGACGGGAAGTGACTAGGGCATGAGTGACTGTGAGTAGGGACCGCTGATCCAGGAAAGGGCGTAAGTGGTGCACAACCCGCAGTTGCGCAAAGGCCCTCCTGGCCATGACCGCCACCTGCTCTTCGAACAGGAATCCAGTGAGTCCAGGAAAACCCCTAGATTACGCACAGGGTCTGTTTGGGGTAGCGCTACCCCATCCAAGACTAAAGGTGGCAATTCTCCCTGAGCCAGTGAACCCCAAACCCAGAGCCACTCAATCTTGCAAGGGTTTAGTTTCAACCCGTTGCTCCCCATCCAGCCCCTAACAGCCTCCAGGCACTGCGAGAGGGAGGACACAGCAGCACTTAACTCACCACCAGCCAAGACATACAGCTGAGTATCATCAGCATATTGGTGATACCTCAGTCCATGGTGGCAGATGATTTCAGCCAGCGGCTTCATATAAACGTTGAACAGGAGCAGAGAGAGTACCAAGCAGAGATGGGATTCAGCAGGTTCTGAGTGGTTCTGGCGAACCGATCGTGGAAATTTTGAGTAGTTCGGAGAACCGGCCACTTCTGACTGGCCCCGCCCCCATCTATTCTCTGCCTCCCAAGTCCCAGCTGATCGATTGGGTCTTCTTTGGTAGGGCAACCAAAGGAGAACGGAGCTGGAAAGCAGGTTAGTGGGGTGGGGAGGGAATGAGGATTTTACAGTATCCTTCCCCTGCCACACCCACCAAGCCACGCCACGCCCACAGAACCGATAGTATAAATTTTTGAATCCCACCACTGGTACACCGAGCCCTGAGGAACCCCGTAAAGCAGCGGGCAAGAGCTGGATCTCTCCCAGTTAGGATGGATTTTGCCGGAAACTGGCATTTGCTTCCTGTTTACTGCAATAAAACACCCATTGCAGACAAGGGGATTCTCTTAACTATCACCACAAAAAAATATCCTAAAATTGAGTAAGTGATATGTCATCAACCTGCTTAACAACCAGCATGAATGACAGCTCTAATTCCAGGCTCAGTTACAATTGTAAGTCAAGCACTGCCTGTATCACAGTCCCGAAAGTCAACTTGCATGAAATAGCCAGGGTGCTGGCTGGGGAATTCTGGGAATTGAAGTCCACCAGTCTTACTCTGATGTATAGCTATTTTCCCCGTGGGAACATGGTCCAGCCCAGATAGCCTTTCAGAGTTGCCTTGAGCCTTTGGTCTGGTCCTTAACTAAGTTTTAGTGGCGGTTCAGCGGCAGCCACTTCCTGTCTCCTTTTTGGGTTCCTTTTAGGTCCTAGATGAAGCCGACCGGTTGCTAGAACAAGGCTGCACCGACTTTACCAAAGACTTGGAAGTCATCTTGGCTGCAGTTCCAGCCAACAG